GGTAGCCCAGAAGGCCAACCGTACTCTAGAAAGAAACTATAGGAGTCAGCATCTGCAGTTACAGGTATGGTGTTAGTGTCATCCTGGGAGAATATAAACCCTTACTTAATCTGAAAATGAATTGAAAGAGAAAGCTCACCTTCAAATTTCCCTCTTTATTCTGTGCCTTCCCAGAGCATGGAGAAAAGTTGTCCTACCCACAGGCAGAGCCAGAGCAAAAATAAAACTGGTGTGCTGGTTCTGCCACAGTAATTTAATTCTTCCTGTTAGGGCAACACAGCGTTGGTTGTGTTGAGTGGGTGAGGGAAACTTTTCCCTGCATGGAACTGATGAAAAAGCCCACATGGTTTTCAGGTAAGTTGCGAGACCTTGCTCTGACTCTGATGGGCTCACACTGGCACATGAACTGTGATGCTCATGTTTGTAATGGAAGCAGGCTGAAAATCTAAAGATACATGCAGAACTCTGATCGTTGTCTACCACTATCAGCCCTTTAATTTGATGTGTGTGTGTGTGTGTGTAAATCACTTACGGGTTTATTGTGGTGGTTTCTGTATTTGGCAGATCTGTAACTGTATCAGAGCGGCCTTAAACTACCACAGAGATCAGAAAGGAGGAGGTTGTGCTGAGAACTTTTTCAAGCTTTTAGTTTTCAGCTTTCTGTTCAGCTCCTACAGAAAAAAATCTCATAAGTTTAAGCCTGTACAGGCAGGTGCTCACCTGTCGTGTTTGATGATGCTGAGCGGTACTGAGGAGCATACCAGCTCCAGTGATGGACTGATTGCTTTCTGCATGTGGTTTGTTTTGTCTTTTCTTCTTTTTACGGAGATGATGTCCTCCCTCTGCAGGTGATTCCTGTCCCGTTGGACCACTGTACTTCCGAAGACATTAAAGAGTCCTTTATTGTACAGGCACAGGAACAACAGATTGAATTATTAGAAATCCCAGAGCACTCCGATATCACGCAAGTATGAGACAAGACTTCACCTGTCACTTAATTTCCCTCTGTCCTGTCTGGGCTGCTCTGGTTCCCTCTGAGGTCACTTTGTGTGGCAGGGGTTAAGCTGTTGGAGGCAGACCCTTGTAGATTTGGAGATGTGCCAGATGTATTCTGCTTGGGGTGAAGTTCCCGTGAACAGCAGATGCGTTGCTTGTCTGAAAATTACTCCAGCTATGTGTAGGACTTGCTGAGTTCATTCCTTCTGATACCAACACCAACCCTCTTTCAGTGCCGCTGCACATTAGGTAGTTTTAGGTTCCCTTGGATAAGAATTTGAAAGAAATCTTCCTGGTATATCAGAGAAATGAGCCAGTAGTGACATAGGGTTGGTTTTTTTTTCCTTTGCGCTCGGTGTTCACAAGGAGACCTGATCTGCAGCAGGAGCCAGAAATAGCGTGCGTGCATGCTGTTGACACCCATGCCGGCAAGCTTAGAGGCTGATTTCTCAGCCGAGAAACACGCATGCAGTCTCTTCACATGCTTGTCTACCTCTAAAAAACGTGCTGTGTCGGAATGGGGTGACTTAGCTCAGGTTAAGAATGGTGAGCGCTGCCTGGGGCGCTCTCCTTCAGCCACTCTGTGGCGGTGACTGCAGAATTAAACCGCAGCAGGCGCTGCAGCAGCGCGCTGCGCGCACCCTCCGCTGGCGACTCCCGAGGGAGGCGACGCATCGCCTCGCTGTCCCCTGGGCGCTGGGGTCTGGGCTCG